TGTTCAGCACACCCGTGTTGAGGGGCCTACTGTTCAGCACACCCGTGCTGGTGAGAGGGGCCTGCTGTTCAACACACCCGTGCTGGTGAGAGGGGCCTGCTGTTCAACACACCCGTGCTGGTGAGAGGGGCCTGCTGTTCAACACACCCGTGCTGGTGAGAGGGGCCTGCTGTTCATTACACCCGTGCTGGTGAGAGGGGCCTGCTGTTCAGCATACCCGTGCTGGTGAGAGAGGCCTACTATTCATCACACCCGTGCTGGTGAGAGGGGCGTGCTGTTCATCACACCCGTGTTGGTGAGAGGGGCCTGCTGTTCACTCCCATGCTGGTGAGAGAGGCCTACTGTTCATCACACCCGTGTTGGTGAGAGGGGCCTGCTGTTCACCACTCCCATGCTGGTGAGAGGGGCCTACTGTTCAACACACCAGTGCTGGTGAGAGAGTCCTGCTGTTCAGCACACCCGTGCTGGTGCGAAGATGGCGCTGATGATGGTAGCCTCAGCCGGTTGGTGCGCCCTGTTTTGTCTTGTTTTGTCTGTCAATTCAGTGTTTTGCCAAGATTTTCGGAGTTCTCTAACAAGAGACGAACTTTTAAATATCAGGGAAACAACTCCTGTGGATTTAATTCCTACTTTTCTGCTTCCAGCGGCAGAATTAGTAGGCATTCTAGTCAATGCCGCGCTAGGCTTTGCTCAAGCAACGAAACGCCGCCCAAGGGGTAAACGGTCGGGGGCTCTAGTACGGCTACGCAGACGCGGGATCCGAACAGTGCTTCCGAGCTTTTTCCTCTCCAACGTACGTTCACTGTACAACAAAATGGATGAACTTCAGCTACTGATGGTAAAAAACAAAGACTTTCTTTCAGCTTCTGCATTGTGCTTCACGGAAACATGGCTGTGTGATTTGATTCTGGACACTTCGCTACAACTAGCAGGATTCCATCTTGTAAGATCGGATCGTGACATAGCACTCTCCGGCAAGACGAAAGGCGGTGGTATTTGTTTTTACATTAACAGTGGCTGGTGTGTAGATGTCACAGTGATTCTGCAACATTGTTCTCCACTCCTTGAATCAATTTTTATAACCTGTAAACCGTTTTACTCGCCTCGCGAGTTCGCGTCGCTCATTTTGGTCGGAGTTTATTTGCCGCCTTGTCCTCAGGTTAAAGAGGCCCAACGCATGCTCGCCGATCAGATTCTGAGTGTGGAGCGAGCAAATCCAGATTCGTTGGTTATCGTACTTGGCGACTGTAACAAAGGTAATCTCAGCCACGAACTCCCCAAATACATACAATTCATTAAATGCCCAACCAGAGAAGGGAACACTCTGGATCACTGCTACACTACAGTCAGTAGAGCCTACCACGCCGTCCCCCGAGCAGCACTAGGACACTCTGACCATGCCATGGTCCACCTGATTCCTGCATACAGGCAGAAACTAAAACTCTGTAAACCTGCTGTGAGGACATCTAAACAGTGGACCAGTGAGGCTGTGGAAGATTTGCGGGCGTGCTTAGACTGTACTGACTGGGATGTGTTCACGACTGCTACCAATAGTCTGGATGAACTCACAGAGGCTGTGACGTCCTACATCAGCTTCTGTGAGGACTGCTGTATCCCAACACGTACCAGGGTGAACTTTAACAACAATAAGCCCTGGTTCTCAGCAAAGCTCAGAAGGTTGAGGTTGGAGAAGGAGGAAGCGTTTAGGAGTGGAGATAGAGACAGATTCAAGGAGTCGAAGAACAGGTTTAGCAAAGCGGTGAGAGAGGCTAAACGACTGTACTCAGAGAGACTAAAACACCAGTTCTCTACAAACGACGCTGCTTCTGTCTGGAGAGGGCTCAGGCAGATCACCAACTACAAACCCAGAGCCCCCCACACCACTAACGACTCCCGCCTAGCCAACGACCTGAACGAGTTCTACTGTAGATTTGAAAGACAATTGGACTGTCCTGAACCACCCCTTCCGACCCAAGAGGCCCCATCCCCCACCAATACTACAGAGACGACTATCTCCTTTCAGGAGGGAGAAGTTATTAGACTTTTTCAAGAGACAGAATCCACGCAAAGCAGCCGGGCCGGACTCCGTCTCTCCAGCCACCCTCAGGCACTGCGCTGACCAGCTGTCTCCGGTGTTCACCAACATCTTTAACACCTCCCTGGAGACATGCCATGTACCAGCCTGTCTCAAGTCCTCCACCATCATCCCTGTGCCCAAAAAGCTAAGGCCAACAGGACTAAATTATTACAGACCGGTCGCCCTTACATCTGTGGTAATGAAGTCTTTTGAGCGCCTGGTCCTGGCACACCTCAAAGCCATCACAGACCCTCTCCTGGACCCCCTTCAGTTTGCCTACAGAGCCAACAGGTCTGTGGACGATGCAGTTAACATGGCCCTCCACTTCACACTACAGCATCTGGACGCCCCAGCATCCTACGCCAGGATCCTGTTTGTGGACTTCAGCTCTGCCTTCAACACCATCATTCCTGCCCTGCTTCAGGACAAGCTCTTCCAGCTGAACGTGCCATACACCACCTGTAAATGGATCACAGACTTCCTGTCTGACAGGAAGCAGTGCGTTAAGCTGGGAACACAAGTCTCTGACTCCAGGTCCATCAGCACCGGAACTCCTCAGGGCTGCGTCCTTTCCCCTCTGCTCTTCTCCCTGTATACCAACAGCTGCACCTCCAATCATCTGTCCGTCAAACTATTGAAGTTTGCGGATGACACCACCCTCATTGGGCTGATCTCTGGTGGGGATGAGTCTGACTATAGGTGGGAAGCTGACAATCTGGTGACCTGGTGTAGCCAGAACAACTTAGAGCTAAATGCTCTAAAGACAGTTGAGATGGTTGTGGACATCAGGAAGAATACAGCACCACTCACCCCCATCACCCTGTTAGACTCCCCAGTCAAAATTGTAGAGTCCTTCCGCTTCCTGGGCATTATTCTCTCCCGGGACCTCAAGTGGGAATTGAACATCAGCTCCCTCACCAAGAAAGCTCAACAGAGGATGTACTTTCTACGGCAGCTGAAGAAATTCAACCTGCCAAAGACAATGATGGTGCAATTCTATACAGCGATCATTGAATCCATCCTCACCTCCTCCATAACCGTCTGGTACGCTGCTGCCACTGCCAAGGACAAGAGCAGACTGCAGCGTATCATCCACACTGCTGAGAAGGTAATTGCCTGCAATCTACCAACCCTCGAGGACCTGCACACGACAAGGTCCATGAGGCGAGCGAGGAAGATTATGGCCGATTTCTCCCACCCTGGACACTCTCTGTTTCAGCTACTCCCCTCCGGCAGAATGCTTCAGTCCATCAGGACCAAAACCTCACGCCATAAAAACAGTTTCTTCCCATCTGCTGCTGGCCTGTTAAACAAGGCCAAGGGCTAACACTGTTTTTAACATTTGATCTACATAACGACACCTTGCCGATATTAACTATGTTACCCTATTTGTATTTTTTATTTTTAAATTATATCTTAAAGCTATTTTATATTCGATATTTATTTAATTTTATATACTTCAGCCCCTTGGTGTTAGACTTTTAACCCTTATTATAGTAAGACTTGTTTAAAACTTATTTAAGATTTTAGGTTCCTATATGTTGAATGTATGCACCATCCTGCCAAAGTAAATTCCGTGTCGGTGTGAACTTACATGGCGAATAAAACCCTTTCTGATTCTGATTCTGATAAAAAATAGCATACCATTTCAATGCAATACATTACTTAAAAACGAATGTCAATGGACATGGCATTTTTCTAGATAAGCTTTATGGAGGCTCAGGTTTATTAAAAGAGAGTCCTTCACTTGAACGGTTTAGCCGGTGTATTTCTTTTTGCAGAAGCCCACAAGAGAATAACAGTAAAAGTTCTGCACAAATTGGGTTCATAAACACATTTGTTGTCCTGCCATTCTATGGCCATGCCATAGCCCCAGTGGGTTGGGTAGTTTAACACTTCTGTGTGAATAATCAGCAAACGTTGCCACCAGGTCCACACGCCCAGCATGCTGGCCGTTAACTTATAATGTTTAACCTATACTGGCTTCAACTCTTGCCAATATGACTACGATATGACATCTTAGTTCCTGGTCAAAGTGCACTTATGCACATGAGCTGGAACCCACAGTATGAGTAACTAGTGGTGTATAAACGTAGCACATATTTTCATTAGGTTGTGCAGCAATTTAAAACCATTCTAAAACAAATGATGGAGGAAACATGAATGAAAATTCATGAACGTTATTGTCTCTTTTGGCGTCATGTGGTCCAACACCATGTGAGACTGGGCTCTAAGAAAAGTTGTCTCGGGTGTGGACCAATCAATTTTAAGGACAGTGAATACATTATCAGTGTTGTCTTTTTGTTTGCATTTTGACCGCAAGTGTTGTGGGTAATGCAAGCATGATCCCTTGTAAAAAGGTATCAGTTTTGTTGCCAGATAAAAGGGTAAAAACCTATTATTATGGTACTTACCTAGTCAAATAAATAAACATTGAGGCTGTTTTCTGTTTTGAGCTAAGCTACGGAAATGGAAAACTTTCAATGGAACCTGCGATCGATCGCCAGTGCTACGTGCTTCCAAGTGTGGCGCTGTCACTTTCCACCATAATTTCCTCTGTACTACTCAGTAAGTCTTCAACGATGTCACTCATCGTGATCTCATATTGTGAACCTGCAGAGGGCATCTGACCAACAGCATTTAACTGTTACGTAGCGTTTTTTTATGCGTGTGCATCAGTGTGGGCAGTCATGGTGCGGACTGCTGGAAGGCTGAGTTTCTTGGTTGCTCTTGATTTTTGTTAAGAATAAAGATTTTCATATTGTTACCAGACCATGTTGACTGAGACTATCTCTTACTGTACAGTTATGTAACCAGTCATAATCTAGACAAGATTTAGCAAAACAGTAAACAATACTTTTAAAACCATTCTAGAATAAATTATGAGGGAAACATGAGTGAAAATTCACAAGTTTTATTGTCCAAAAAAATCTAATCCCAATTTACATCATGGTATTGCTGTTGCAATGAAATTGTCTTAATTGCTTACAACATTAAAAAAGTTATCTTAATTAAATGTAAAATCAATGATTTATAAACACTAGCTGCATGGAACTTTTTTGTCAAAAGCTAGCATTTATATATTACTTCCAAAAAAAATCTTAAACAAGTTATGCATTTAGCTGTTACAAAAAAAACTGGCTTTTTCTGACCACCTTTTTCCATCCTCATCATTATTGTCTGTAACAGATCACAGGCTGTTTAAGATGTAGGGAACACTGTCACTAATAGAGTAATGATGGTTATCATAAAGTACACTGTGCATGCGGGTTCAAATATTGTTGGTGGACCACCACCGTTTGGTGCCTTGGTTGGGACAACAATCACCGCAGGTGCCACGGACGCCACGTTGGAGTTCTCTCCTTTGTTGTTTTTTTCTTGTCGATGGCTCGTACAGAGAAATAGAGGCCGTTTCCTGGCTGGAGCTCAGCTATGGAGATGGCAAATGTTTCAGTGGAACCCGCGACCGCCGGGTCACTTGTGTTTCCCATTGTGACGTTGTCTTCAGGCACGATCATTTCCTCTGTGCCATTCAGCAAGCCTTCAATGCTGTCGCTCGTTATGATCTCATATTTTGAAGCTGTGAAGGGGATCCAAACAACAGCCTTTAACTTTTACATATGAAAACAACGAACAATGTCCATAATAAAGGGTATTGGGTTAGATCGCATAAGTATAAATGTGTCGTAATCGTCCACCACCCGACGCAGCCAGTAAGGTTTGTCACGTAAACAACGCGCCAATTAGTTACTACTTCAGCCCACCGGTGTGCTGGAGAGGAAATCCAAAACATTTACAATTTGAATAATGCTTTGTAAGAATATAATTTCAAGAATGATCGATGAATTGGAGAATTACTGGTGTAAATTCAACTGCTGAACTATATGCAGGCTTGTCAATAAGGACATTTCCAGTTATTGGTTGTTAAATTAGAAATGAATAAACATACCATGGGGTATTACCATGCTTTAAAGTGAATCGTAAAGATCCTGGAAGGTAATTGTGATGAAGGTAGTAAGTGAGAGCCAGCTTGTAAGCTGCATATCTTGCTGATGGAGGTCGCGTGTGAGTGCCAAGTGAGTAAGGCCGTATGTGTCGCGAATTGAGGTCATGAGTGGTGTGATACCATGTGTGTGGCTAATGGAGGTCGTGAGTGGTGTGATACCGTGTGTGTGGCTGACGGAAGCTATGAGGCTGTGTGACTGGGGCACCTTGGCCGAAGTCGGCATCGTCCCCGGGCGCCGTCCAAGCCAGGCTGACGATCCCCAGCGCCAGCAACTCGACCGTCAGGTCCAGCACGCGGCACGGAGGGTAGATGTCCAGGGGCCCGCCCGGCGGCACCGTTGCCTGGAAGGAGCCTCCCGATGCCACTCGACTGAAGTCCTCGCTCGGCACCAGCACCTGCCCTACCGCCGGAGCTGGCACCTGCGTTATCTCCAGCTCCCCTGGTGGGAGAGACCAGAGTTCATTCTGTTGATACAGAGCCACGGCAAACTACATTTGGATAGAGATAAAGCCACTTTATATTGTTACCTTGTTAAATAAAGCATTTAATGGGAATTTACTTCCATTGCGTTTCTGTTTAGAGTGTTGGCACATGGTGTTCGCTGTTTAGCAAGGATGACCTCTCTCGTTTCGAAAGCCCGGAATGAAGATGGCCTTGGAGCCTCTGCGTGGAGCCAGCCTCGTTGCCTCTTTACTTCCTGCTACTCTGACCTTCAGGCTGTAGCGGCCACTCGACGTGTATTGGGTGAAGTATCTGGAGTACACTCCGTCGTTCTTCTTTATGTCGGCACCTGCGCACAGGTTAAATAAAGCCCGAGATCAATAAAGCATCCCCATTTAAGTATCGTGCATAAATTTTGTGGATAACAAACAACATTACCTCTGCACAAAAAAATAATTGCTTTCCAGCACGTTGAGCCGTTTTAGCAGACACATGGCCTCATTTGAACATTTTTTGATGCATTGTTGTCACAGTCAGTTGGGTGGCAATGAGATTGGCAAAAGCTGACAACATCTATCAAACAGGACCACCACTTTGTTTGAGAGCTGCTCACACCCACAACGTACTCGCGCCATTGTCCAGCAGCTCAATCTCGAGCGTTGCGCTGCCAGGTCTCTCGATCAGAGTGGTGACGTTTGCGCCGACAACAGGCGTGGTTCCACGCTTCACCTCGGCGTAAATGGTCAAGGCGCTCAAAGAGATGCTGCCAAAGGCCTGCATGTTTGCCTCCACCGTGATGGGAGGCACCCCCTTGCTGGACGCCATGCTGGTGACCGTCAGGGTAAGGGTGTCTGTGCTGCCAGCTTTATTAATGAGCCAGTATTTCCACGTCCCAGTCTGAGAACGAAATAATGACTTTTGTTTTGAAATGTATTTGTTCATAATACTGTTTTTTTTTGGGTTAGATTGCGGAAATATAAATGTCGTTAAACCTGCCACCACCCGACAGCCAATTAATAATGTTTGTCACGTAAACATGACATGCTTTTTGTTACTCGTGCAGCACAACGGTGCGTTGGAGAGCAAATACACAACATTTACAATCTGAGTACGACGTTTCGCCAACAATTACCACTAGCTTCATCAGGCGACAGCCATATTTGTGGAGAAATCCTCGTTTTGTCCTTTAAATAGAGGGATATATAGATGTGATGATGTCACTTGTGAGCCCTTCACGTGCGAAGGGGGGGGGAGGTTAATGAATGCATATAAATTACAATGGGTATCCATTACCGGTTGGGTTATTCATATGGTAATCAACGCACATCATGCATGCATATTGTTGTTGTACCTCCTGTCATTTGTGTGCACTAAAATAAGAGTACCTGTCATTATCTGTGCACAGGTAATCCCCATTGACGAATGGTGACATGTATATGCATGTATTATTTGATTATTCGCTTCCAAGCAGTACTAAACCAGTAGCTATCCGAACGGTTAAAATCATTTTTATTTCTCAAAATTTCGACAGTTTATCGAATTAGTCTTGGCCAATAGTAACTAGTTTTGCACAAAACTTCAAAATTATCAAAATTAATTGAGTGTTCTTGTTGGCATGCGTGTTCTGCCACTGCCGACAGTTATATTCGGGAGTATTTAATATTCCATTGGTGTTCTTTTAGTCTCATGCTGATCATTCGTCCTCTCTGCCCAACATAGCATTGGCCATACGAGCAATTAATCCGGTACACACCTTCTGTTGATAGCTTCAGTAATACATCTTTAGTACCAGATATTAGTTCCTGTATTTATGTATCGCGTCAAATCTCACTTGGATGTTTTGTTTTTTCAAAAATCTGGATAGTTTATTAGTTATTCCCGCAATGTACGGTATTTTAATAATTTTAATGACTTGGTCACTTTCAAAGCTCGTGCTATTTGATTTGGTTTTGGCATTCAGTGCCCTGTTGATTTGTGCATCATTGTAACCATTCAATTACAGCGCTTCTTTAACATGTTTAATATTACTTCTCAGACTATCACCATCCGACTCGATGCATGTATGTGTAGTGAGTCCAACTGAGTCGCAGACGTTGTTCTTCAGAGGCAGCACATTTATTCACAAAACGTATATACAAAAGGGGTAACTGCCCCTTTACCAGATACAGCCTAGGGTGGTGACCACCCAGCTAACTACACTACCATACAGGAGTTACAGCTACGATGGACCGGACCCTCACTCGGGTCCCGGGCCACGTGATTGGTGCCTCTTCAGACGTAGGACGTGGAGCTTCCAGCTTGTAGAATGAAGCGACCCCGGTCCCTCTCAGGGACCCACCTTATATCCTCTCGGGTCCGCCCTCGGCCCCGCCCACCTTCGCGAGCATTCTAGCTCCCTCTTGATCCCCCTCGAGAGCTCTCCCCGGACATGTGACCACCCCCTAACCCCCCCACCTGGGGCCCTCTCTGTGGACACTCCGGATCACGTGCCTACGGGGTTAACCAGAGTGCCAAGGCCCGGGCCAACCCTGTCCCTGGGCTGACACTTTCCCGCTCCCCCTGGTGGGAGCCCGCACTGCACGCCGTGCGTGGTGGCCGCGCTATCCCAGCGCTCACCATGCCCCGCTAGGGCTGGTACTACACCCGCCTACGGGGTGTACGCGATGATGGTGCATCGCACGCCGTGATCTGCTAGAGCTGGCCTCACTCAGCAACACACACGGTGCTGTCCACGACGTAAGTACATCGCACGCCACGGCCCTCCTGGGCCGGCACCACACAGTGACATCCCCGATGTCACTACATATGTATGAGCGTCTTGATGAGCGTCTTGAAAGCCTACATGTTTTAAACCAAATGTATTTGTTGAATGCACTTAGCTGTTTTATGAGTGAGGCATGTTTGAATGAACCGCAATATCAACCCCTTTCGTAACAAATCCCAGCATCTATAATGTCCCACTTACCAAGTCCCATCAGAGAGGGTTACTGATGCAATAATTTTTAACCCTGAAAAATCGTGATACAAAACATACCATAGCTCTTCCTGGAATGGTCAGCCTTGCAGTTTTGAATGTTCCGTCAATGACGAAGTCTCCGTTTTGGTAGGTAACATTATTTGGATCAGTAATGTGCATCTCTGGGACACTTGACTGCCAGATGACCACGAACTGCGTGTTGTTCCCAATAGAGGCATCGATGTTGACGTCTCCATCCATCCACTGATTGCTGTTGAGAACTTTACCGGTGCTCTCCAGCTGCCAACAAGAGAAGTAGAAATGAGCAACAGCCCACGACAATCTCAAAAATCTAGACGATATCTCTAAAAGTGATTGCCGCGGAGTCCCGTCGTTCCACCCCCAGCATTCTAGTTAACTGGAGACCATGAGCCACCCACCTGGAGATGGAGAGATTGAGGTGGGGAGCATCACTGAGAGATGGGCACTTCCTCTCATACTATAGATGTAGACATTCAATGAGCACATCATTCTTAAACATGTATGCCATTGTTATTGACCCTAGACATTGCATATACACGTATATTCTTCCCCATATTCCAGGGTTAAACCTTTGCTTTTCTAAAAGACTGCGATTTTGGCTATCCACAAATCGCAATCTGGAACTCTACACGACTGCATCTAGAGAGAGAAAGAGAAATAAAGTGATGAGAAAAAGTGATGAGTCACAGAGATGTTATAATTTTCCTGCATTTAATAGCTTATTTGCGTATTTAACGTAATGCATTAATTTGATATTCACGAGCATCTCCGGAATGTATCCCTCGCGAATAACAAGGGGGCACTATTACTCTCAACCTTCTCCCAGCTTCTTGCTCTCTCAAAGACCCTATGTAACCGCTCTCCCTTGCATTTCTCTGAACCCCTGCTCTCTAATTTTCCCCTTTCTCACCTCACCCCGCGCACGTTCAAATCCTTGGCCTATCCTCTCACCCTAGTTACTTCTCCAATCGGGCAACCTCCTTCAAATTCGTCTTGGCGAATCGTCGCCATTCCTTCAGGTTCGGACGACCAAGAACCCCAGCAACCAGAATATATCCAGGTCTCCCCCACCCTGAATCCATTCTGTCCTTAAATACACGGGGTATCGACACCCGACAAGGACTTCTGCGGATTGATTCATCCGTGTGAGTATGCGAATCATCAGAATGGGTGGCGCAGTTCATTATAATTTAATAAACAAAATTGTAATGTGTTATGATATTTCATGTAGTGCCACAGATTACACGTGAGCTGTTATGGGAAAACGCATGTCAAAGTACAAACGGCTCTTATTTTATAACTCTGCACTTAGATTGTGTGTCATGGGCTCTCTAACATGAATAAAGTCTTGTTAACAAAAGACATTTGAGAAACGTCTCACTTTCATTTGCAAGGTCGTACATGTAGCTTCATGGCACCGGCTACATCACAATGTATTGTGCACACTGGAAGCCATTCCATGTTGGCTATGTAATCCAGAACATAGCATGTAATTTGAAAAATATTGTTGCAGGAAATATGATTTAAAAATAATAAATCACAGCTCTTTGTCAATCCACTGCTGGATGAAGGCCTCCCATCACAATGTTGGTTGTGGGTGTTATTTAACCATACTTAGCCATGCAGGTCATTGCGGGTTGGTGAAGAAAGCACCAGGAATGGTTGAGATATCACTCGCCACTGATGTTAGCTGTGGCCAGGAATCAAACTGAGGTAATCGGGTTAATGGCCCAGTGTAATAACCACTGCACCGCCATGCCACCTCAGTTATTATAAATGTCATAGTAATGTTGTGCTGCATTACCTGTATGACCAAAGCATCTGAGTCTCCGTTGTCTGTAGTGATGGATGTAAACGCATCCCCAAGAGCATTGCCGTCCACGTTATCACTTGCAAAGAAGTTCAAACCACCTAATAAAAGCAACAGAGGCAATGGGAGACGTTATGGCACAGTGCTTCCCTTATTCTGGGACATTGGTTTAACTCTGGAATATGGGAGAGTCTAATTGTAGAAACCATTGGGTAGTCAGCATAACATGCATAGTTCAGTCCATTATTGTTGCTTTTTTCTCTCACAATTTTATTAAAATCACGCGATTGGCATCATATGAGATAAATATACATTTACACTGAAACACTAACAGGCAGCAGTGCACTACTTGGAGTTAGAGAACAGCCCTAGATGATGTAACATAACTACTTCTAAACGTATCTTCATTGGGTCTGTTTATCAAAAATAGAAGCACACATTTCACAAGCCCTAAAATGGGCATGTATTACATGCCAATAAAACTTGATTGTTTTTACTTCTCTAACCTGAGCAAAACGACGTTTTATTTGTGCTGTCATTTATGGAGCTTAGATCATAAACTTGCTACACGTAAGAAGTCCATGCAATCGCAGGCGGTTGCTTTGATCCGAATCCAGCATTGCTAACTTGGTGCTCCGGTGTGTTTTTGACCTCCTGAGGCCATGATGAAAGGGAACTTTACAGCCTTTTTGTCAGTCCAATGGTGGATGAAGGCCTCAGTCCTCGGCACTCCCTTTCACCCGCCGCGCTGACAAGCATGGTGAAGTATGGTCAAACAACGCCCATGACCAGCACGACATGGAGATGATACTGTATGAACATACATTATTTCTGCCTTGCATTTACTGGTGCTCATATCCATTGGCAACCTTGAAACAATCATAGTGATTGCACAACCCTATGACATACGTTTTGCCCTGTTGCAGGTGTGCTTTTAAACCACGTTTCCTTTGGTTTCATTTATTGTAACTAATTTGGGGTGGAAGATGGGAAAATTTGAATGAAGCATGTTTAAAATAGAAATCAATAAAAAAATCACCCGATAATTCGGCGAGCTTTTCGAGTTCTTTAACTGCACTTGGTCCCAAGGCGATGGTGTGGATGGTGCATCCACTGGTGCGAACGGCTTCAAAGCAAGAACTGATGCCACCATCCTCGCCATCGGTCATTAAGACAATTTCATCTCCGGAGGCACTACCGTCATCTCCAGACAAAACCTGTGCAGAGGGACGTCAAAATGTAGTGTTTATTTTGACGTGCATCTTTTGCTGAGAATAAAGTAATGTTCCTTGCATTTCCCTTGGGATGTCTCTTTACGCATTTAATGACAGTTAAAAAAAGAGTAATATATTGTTATGATGTACAGTACGTGCCATTTATAATTTAGGCAAAATTATTACACACAACACAGTGCTTTTGTCCAACAAAAATTATGTCAAATCAATATGCGCCATTGTTTAGGGTCACGTGTCATCATTAAACATATAAACAGACAATTAGTTAATCCATAGAGTTATCGGTCCCCATAGCTTTAGCAAAACCCTCTAGAGTCTAGACCAGGGGTCACCAAACTACGGCCCGCGGGTCAGATCCGGCCCGCGACGTCAGTCCATCAGGCCCGCCGACGGTACTTGAATTTGGTTGATAAAACGTATGGAACACGAGACGTTGTGATATAATTTAAATATGTTTAGAATACTAGGAGCTCTTCACGCGTGCGGAGACCTCCTGACTGCTATGTTCCTTAAATTTACTATTTTAAATTATTGTATCTAGATTTTCTTGTTTATTGTAATGTTTGCTTATTTCGCCCCATCCCAAGTACTTCCCCGGCTCGTGGTAGCTCCGCCTACGCTGACGTTACCGTGGTTTCCATGGCAACGTCATGGCAACACGTTACCATGGTTTCCATGGCAACACACACAAACACGCATCTTTCCCGCCCCCAGATTTTCCAGCTGTCAACACAGGTTCGACGCTCCAGAAATATTTATTTATTATGCGGCCCACGCTCGTCATTCTTTCAGTTATCCGGCCCACTGTGAAAAAAGTTTGGTGACCCCTGGTCTAGACAATAACATTTGTATTAATAGGCATGATTTGCTAATAAGGCTCTCGAAGTTAACACTGGCCAAGGATTTCCAATTATGCACAAAAGGCTGCTTTTAATTATTTGTTCCAGAACACCCATTTGCCGATGTGCAAAACAAATGCGTTTCATTTTTACACGGTGAAACTCCAGTCTACAAGAAAACAATCTAATAATTTGCGATCCAAAAATGCGTGAATCTTTGTAATTCGCGAACAATTGGCGGCTCAAGACTCCTCTCACAATCCTCAGAACACCGCAGCGAATTAAAACCTCTTCACAAACAGTAAACCGAGATCTATCTAAATGGGTGGGGCGAGCTCGGTGCTGCAGGAAGGTAGCTACAGGAAGGTAAATACGGAGGCAGGATGTGCATCTCTTTTATTTGCAATGTTAATTTTGTTGTTTATTTTTTGCACAGAGGATTTGTGGTGATCCAATTAGTTTTCCAAGGACGTGATATTTGCATTCCTTAAACTTGGATATCAAGTCCAGCAAAATCCAAAAAGTCCTTAAACAAAGACCCATATGGAAGATATTCACCTTCAACATATGGCAGATATGCACCATTTGGTCTTTTTAAAAAATGAAACCTTATAATGGCCATATTTATTTCGGATTAATTTAGCTGCCAGTCACATCCCGCACTTCCCCTGTAATTCGCAACGTTCTCACGGATTAATGGGATTACGTGGTGAATTCTTCCCATAATTTGCTGTGCACTGCTTTGGTACCAACATTTTATCACGGATTACAAGTCTAACCTCAGAAATTCGCCACGAATTAAAGGATCTGCAACACGGTCCCCCCTATAGTATTGTATTTCTGCTATATTTTGTATTGCGGCTAACACACTATAAAGGACACATCATCACATTGTTGCCATATTGTGACAACTGCCTTTGATTATTCAGAAAATAAATTCGTCAGACTTCACAACTTACCTGAAACCCTTTTGAAACACCTGCACATATATTTGTTCCGCCCCCTGCACCTGTGGGCAAGCAAGACTTTAGTGCCACCCGGCTTCCAGTGTCCGTAATTAGTGTTAATCCACATTTGGTTTGGGCTGAACTGTCAAAAGTGACTATTCCAACCATCTCTCCTTCCTCCAAAATCTGCATGATGAATATGTCGGCCGCTTGCCGCAGTCTCTGCAAACGACTTCCCTGCACCCGAAGGGAGAGAGCAGGGGGATTTTAACACATGTACATTTATATATTCTAGATTTAAAGCTTTCGTGACTGCAAGGATCCATACTCTTTGGTTCTATTCGGTAAAGTCACGTAAAAAACAACAAAAAAAATTCACGACGTTTCGGCCACAACACAAGTGGCCTTCATCAGGTGAAGGGAGCAGACTGTCTAGAGGATAGCGCTGGAGTGAACACAGCCAAGCTCAGACCGCGACCTTTAAGCTGTGGGAGAGGAAGCAGAGTGCCTTGACAAAGGAATTAGCCATAAAAATTAGCATTTAATTGGCGGACTTAGCATGATGAAGCATTGTACTGGGGGGGGGGGGGGGGGGAGAAATGTGCAGACCTGCGAGGGGGGGAAAGGGGGAGTTTACATATTGATGGTGTGAAAAGGGAATTTAAGCAGCTGCGAAAGTTTGGGATACCACTACTTGAAAAAATATACTGTACCATTGAAAATTAGTTTAATGTTTGGTTTGATTCAGAACATCTTTCCAATGGTTGCTTAATTTGAAACCATCCTCTCAGTTGAAATTGTGTCTGTGTTTGTAAATCTGAATTTCCTCGTGAACAAATCTCTGATAAAAACCCATGGGTTTGCAAAGAACCTTGGTATCAGAGAAAATTATATCGTGATCACCCACAGTGTTGTAACAGTGATCAGCTACGGCAGAAGAATTAGTTCTGCCGTGTTTCAAATCTGATTTGTGCTCGCGAATTTGGTCAGAGACATGTCGTTTTGTCTCCCCGATATAGCAGTCACCGCAGGTACAACTCAATTTGTAAACTCCGGGGTACTGTAAGTCAGGAATGACATCCTTCACGGATGGGATCAGGTCACGGATTTTGTGTACTGTATTGAACCGGACCAGGATCTTGTGTTTGTTTAGAATTTTGGAGATCTTTTTAGTAACGCCTGCTATATATGGTAGTGTGATGGTTTTGATCGGAGTATCAAGTGGTTGTTTCTGTATGGAGGGAGAAACAGCTTGGCGGATGGTACGGTCAGAGTATCCATTCCTTTTTAGGGCCAGATGTACATGTTTTAATTCACTGGTCAGGTGGTGTTGGTCCGAAATGCAATGAGCCCTGTGGTATAAAAGGTTGCGGTCTGAGCTTGGCTGTGTTCACTCCAGCACTGTCCTCTAGACAGTCTGCTCCCTTCACCTGATGAAGGCCACTTGTGTTGTGGCCGAAACGTCGTGATTTTTTTTATTTTTTGTTGTTTTTTACGTGACTTTACCGAATAGAACCAAAGAGTATGGATCCTTGCAGTCACGGAAGCTTTAAATCTAGAATTGATAACCTCTACGGGGAGGGCTTTCACCTATCTGTTAGAGCTTTTAACAGACAACGGGACAAGAAGTCACAGCTCATCGAGACGCTGACCTTCCTCAAAAGATGCCGCGATCACAAGGTAATACCCATCGCTTTCACACTCACGTCGGCTGCTGTATCTTCTCTGAATTCTAAACAGATTCTGTTTAAGGCCAGCCTATCTTTAATCTCAGAGAGGATAAGGCTACTCCGATTTGAACTCGATACTTTAGACAGGGCTCTCCTACAAGCTCATTTAATGTTAACACAAAAAATGTCACCTTCTGATTGGAATCACGTAGACAACATGACTGCTTCTTCTGCTGATTCACTGTCAGTCAAATGTAAAGCTAACCTGATTTCTAAATTCAACCACCTATCAAAGAAGAGCCCATTTCCACATATAACAAAACTAGATGTCAACAAAATCGTCATTAATCAGAGTAGCACCCCGATTTCGGACAATCTGAAAACAGTACTGGCTAGGGGGCTGAATTTTGCTGTCACCCCAAAACACATACCAGTAGATGATATCATCTCTCAGGTCGATGTAGCCCTCAAAGGCTTAGGACACATCCAAGCAGACGTTGCGAGAGCTGAAATAGCCACTATTCTTAAGAATGCTAAGAAACCCATTAGTAACATCAGCACAAATGAACGCTCTGAACTCGCGAATTTAAAAAAACAGAAGTGATATAGTCATCCTCTCAGCCGATAAAGGCAACGCTACTGTAATTATGGATAAAGATTCATACAACAACAAAATCCAGAATCTTCCAAAGATGGAAGTTAATAAAAAATAAAAAAATGACCCTACTAATTGCCTAGCAATAAAAACCAACAAGATCATCACAAGTTCGACCTCCCTAATCGACCCAACTAAACGTCCCTCCCTAAAACCTTCTGCTGCAAGACCCCCTAGATTCTATGGTCTTCCCAAGATTCATAAAGAAGGCACCCCACTACGACCCATCGTATCCACGATCAACTCCCCTACCTATAGACTAGCCCGTTTTCTGTCAGATACCTTGCTGCCTTTCACTGGCAAGACCACCTCAGCAGTGCTTAACTCAGCCCAATTGGTCTCTATGGTCAAAGACGTTGTACTGTCCCCTGACGATATCCTTGTCAGCTTCGATGTGGTCTCTTTGTTCACCAAAGTCCCAGTACCTGATACCACTGAAAGAATTGAAAATTTGGTCCAACATGGACTAGACACCGATACACCTGCACTGGTTAGGCACTGCCTCAACAGTACCTACTTTACTTGGAATGGTTCCTTCTACAAACAAAATGAGGGTACCCCCATGGGATCCCCCTTGTCACCAGTGATAGTCAATATTTTCATGGAGAAATGTGAATCAGACGCCATCCAGACTTCCACCCTCAGACCTTCCCTGTGGAAGAGATATGTAGACGACACTTTCGTCATTTGACCACATGGCCTCCCGGCTTTGAACCTTTTCCTAGACCACATTAATTCCAGACACCCCGCCATCAAATTCACCATGGAAGTGGAGAGAGATGGCAAGCTGCCATTCTTGGATGTTCTGTTTGAGAGGAGAACTGATGGCTCATTGGGACATTCTGTCTACAGGAAACCCACCCACACAGATTCCTACTTGAAATCTGATTCCCACCACCACCCGACGCAAAATAATTCTCTCATCAAAACGTTATACCACAGGGCTCATTGCATTTCGGACCAACACCACCTGACCAGTGAATTAAAACATGTACATCTGACCCTAAAAAGGAATGGATACTCTGATCTGTACCATCCGCCAAGCTGTTTCTACCTCCATACAGAAACAACCACTTGATACTCCGATCAAAACCATCACACTAGCATATATAGCAGGCGTTACTAAAAAGATCTCCAAAATTCTAAACAAACACAAGATCCTGGTCTGGTTCAATACAGTACACAAAATCCGTGACCTGATCCCTTCCGTGAAAGATGTCATTCCTGACTTACAGTACCCCGGAGTTTACAAATTGAGTGGTACCTGCGGTGACTGCTATATCGGGGAGACGAAACGACATGTCTCTGACCGAATTCGCGAGCACAAATCAGATTTGAAACACGGCAGAACGAATTCTTCTGCCGTAGCTGATCACTGTTACAACACTGTGGGTGATCACGATTTAATTGTCTCCGATACCAAGGTTCTTTGCAAACCCACGGGTTTTTATCAGAGATTTGTTCACGAGGCAATTCAGATTTACAAACACAGACACAATTTCAACCGAGAGGATGGTTTCAAATTAAGCAACCATTGGAAAGATGTTCTGAATCAAACCAAACATTAAACTAATTTTCAATGGTACTGTATATTTTTTCAAGTGGTGGTATCCCAAACTTTTGCAGCTGCTTAAATTCCCTTTTCACACCATCAATATGTAAACTCCCCCTCCCCCCCTCGCCGGTCTGCACTTGCTCCCCCCCCCCTATACATCGTTCATCATGCTAAGTCCGCCAATTAAATCCAAATTTTTATGCTAATTCCTTTGTTAAGGCACTCTGCTTCCTCTCACACAGCTTAAAGGTCGCGGTCTGAGCTTGGCTGTGTTCACTCCAGCGCTGTCCTCTAGACAGTCTGCTCCCTTCACCTGATGAAGGCCACTTGTGTTGTGGCCGAAACGTCGTGAATTTTTTTTTATTTGTTGTTGTTTTTTACGTGACTTTACCGAATAGAACCAAAGAGTATACATTTATATAGTACGATACAATTTACATTCATAAAAAAAAAACATCTAAATGTGACCATATCTCAAGATGTTGCGCAATAAGGCGAAACGCGGCCGTTCTGAGAGTTTTAAAAGGGGGTGGGTTGGTTAGAGAAGGAATTGAGTAGAATTCCATAGGAATTGTTTACATAACAGAAGTGTGAATGAAGACACTTCATAGAGATTGACATATGTAGCAGAGAAATATTGAACTTAGACAAGTGGAAGAGTCTCAGCAGTGTCGAATGGCTAGATGAAGGGAATTTCAAACAGTGGGAGCAGCAGCAACAACAGAGAAAGCATTGCCTCTCATTGAGCAAAAGTTGAATGAGACTTTTGATACGAGCCTTGGTGGCTCAAGTGGAGAGCACATCATGGGAGAGTTAGGCAAGGGCAAGTCAATGAGGGATCTTGAATATGATAAGGGCGATCTTGTAGTTGGTGCGAAATTATATTTGGAGCCAGAATAAGATCTGCTTATTTGGGGCAAGGCCTTAATTATGGGTGCGGGTGAGAACACGTGTGGCCTTTTGGATCATTTGGAGTTTGTGGTTAGGAGTTTGATAAGGCCATAAAGGAGAGAGTTGCGGTCGTAGAGTTGACATGTGATGAAGGCATGGATAAGGGTTTGAGCAACGGATGGGATAAGGATGTGGAAGATGCAGGCATTGTTCTGCATACATAGATTACGGTGGGGGGCGGTTCTGCAGAGCTGAGGGATGTTAGAGGCGAAACTCCTAGTTTTGGGACACATTGAACACAACTCCTTACATAGTTTGGTTCATCAAGTTAACTACCCTTTATATGTGCCACACACACTGCAGACTTAACTGCTTGCATTGTTGGCCACGCACATGCCTGGACTCTGTTTTAGAACGGGAATAACTTTGTTGTGCGAGTAAAAGTAACTCACCCCACTCATGCTGCCCGATTTATCCAGAACAAGCGTGATGACTCGGTGGGATGGCCGCAGGAGGCTGAATGTCGGCTGTGTGGGCACGTCAGCGGGGGGTGGTTCGTTGTTATTAAAATCTTCATGCTTCTGCATAATGTCCCAGGCACTGCTTGAGCTACACAGTCGGTTTTGCAGATTCGGAGCATTTCTGTTGTGCGAGTTGACCGTGCAGAATTCTTCCACCTGCAGCCATACCGTCATGCATTTGGGCAAGGAATATTCTTGACGTGGGTTGGTGCATCACCAACAGTGTTAGCTTGTCAAAGAAGAGCATTAATAGTCATTCAGTTATAATGGATGCCATTCAACTTGTAACTTGACAGTATTCAGTTACTCTCGAAGAGACAAGGACTAGGAGATGCAAGAAACCACAGACCAGTGGGAAGGCAGCAGCTTGGCGTTCAGCCAGCACCAACAATTTCCCAAGCTCTACAACCGCCTATATATTAAGATGTTTCCAGTCAAATAATAAGTGTTTAAATGCGGGAAGACACCGGAGCATCTGGAAATAACCCACGTATGCAAGGGGAGGTGGGGGGGAAACTATACCAGGGAGATGGAACAGGTGGAGTTAATATTTTTGCTGTACTGCCTCCTGGCAAGCCAGATAATAATACCTCGATACCCACGGGAAAGGAGTTTCACAACATTTGTGCAATCCTTTGTACGATCCACTAAACATCGCCTCCATAGTTTTGAATTACAGGCGTGCACCACTGTATCATGCCAGACAGTCGAATTAAATTCATCACATGTGCCATGGACTCTAGTAACTCATAGTCCATTTATTAACTATAAACATAACGTTGCAAAGTTTATCCCCGTACACAGTCCGGAGTCCCTTAATTTTTTTTTTCCAAACCCATTTCTAATGCTGTAACAGGACAGGGTTATTAAAGAACATCGCACTCACGTTATCAAGCCATTGTAGGGCCATGATGGACTCCCGTGCCATCTGAACCTTGTCGGGGAAGAACATGCAGCCCTGTTCAGGCAGTCCGTTAATTCCGATCTTGCACGCCTGTACTTTGCAAGAGCCGATAGAGCTGCAGCTCACTACCCCAGTGCCGCCTGTGACGCCTCTGGAGCACCTGTTATAGACAAGACGATGCCATGTCAGAACACTGAACGAGCGCCGTTGACATCTTGGGTTGAAACCTGGGAACTCCCCCCCTCCTCCTGTGATTTACTTTGGCTTTCAAGCGGAGAGAATTGGTAGGCTCAGCCCAGTCATCAGTGCGTAAATAATATTCATATTTTATGTGATTTCTTATTTTTAAAGTATATTTCTAGCTCTGATGATCACTGACTTATTGCAGTTTAAAGTCCATGTGCTTAACTTGTACTATGTCGATAAAAGGGAATGGATATGCCTCATGAGGAATGTCATCTGCCACATGCCATTCTCTACGATGATGTATTTATATTGCTTTATGCATTTTTTTAATGGAAATTTCTGTATCTTATGACACAAAGTGGTATGAAATTTGGAAAACCCATTTTATTTAACCATTATACAAAAGGGTAATAATGTAAGTTTACAAACTCAACAGGTACACCTATAGAACGACGAGTCTCTTCACCAAATAATACAATCCGTGACTCACAAGGTCTTTCTGTGTCTTCTCCCATATTTTACTTCTAAATCAGCGTCACTATCAGCATCGTCATGAGACGAAAGATCCACGTGGATCTCTTGCAGAGCAGTGTTATAGAATGGCCAGTGGAAGCAGATATCACAGAGCTACTTCAGAGATCTCTTCAAGTAAACTCTAGTTCACACACCAGGCGACAGACTTGCCCACCCACCCTGCTACAAAGGATGGAATTCAGATCAATATTTTAAATTCTGTTTTTTTTTTATAAAACCAAAAGAACGTGAAACACATAATTTAATGTAATAAGGAATCCGTTTTATTTAATCTACATTCTCTGAGGATCTCTCTGGAGTTACTTGCCTCGCCGATATTTATCTGCACTATTTTCTGATGGAACAAATGGGGCCTACGTGGTTGTAGGATTGAAACTGTAAGAGATGTCAGGAGTAGGGATGGAGATGGACAGTGGGTTAAGGGGCACGGAGAGCGTTCCCGCTAAAATAAGGGAGATTCACACCGAAAGAGGTGAGACAGTGGGGCGGGAGCAGGGGAGAAGGGGAGATCAGCAGGTGAGGAGATATAAGAGGGGGGCATCGGGGGGCTCGAGAGATGATGGAGGGGAACGGACTGAGAGAAGGCTGTGAGCAAGTGTGGATAAAATACATGGACCCTCCCAACCTCGTGTTCGCTCATCCTCTACAAAACCAACCTTGTGAACTCTACATTATTTCCGTGCAAGTAGAAGGGCTCATCTTCATTATATTCGTCGAAGAGGCCCCATCGGAGGTGCCCCCACTCATGGACGAAGGCCCTTCCTGTGCATCGATACACAAACTTGCTTTCAGGTTCACGAGTCAAATGACATGTGAACCTCCGTAAAAAAAAGTTTTTACACACTTCTTACATGGTAAAGGTGCAGACTTGAAATCACTTTCTCCCCGCCATCGCGGCCTCCTCCACGCCATCGCGTGGAGGAGGCCGTGCGCGGGCGCTAGCCACACAGCACGCGCGTGCCGCAATGGTTTTGAACGAGAAGATGCTGACAATCGGGTATATTTTGTACCCAGAATGGGCAACATAATTGAATCAAATATATTACTTCACAATTGTAACAATCGATAACTTGTTATTTACACTCCTATACATATTTATCCTATAACTTCTCATGGAGATCTCACAACTTAGCCACTTACTTTTCTCTCCAGACTTAACTGCCTTCCAGCTGCTATATAACCCCTTTTTATATCGACTCTCCTGCTCCTTAAATTGCCCCAACTGACAGCCTCGTGGCTATTCATTAACCGCCCCAACTGACAGCCTCGTGGCTGTCCGTTAACAGCCCCAACTGACAGCCTCGTGGCTGTCCGTTAACAGCCCCAACTGACACCCTCGTGGCTGTCCGTTAACAGCCCCAACTGACAGCCTCGTGGCTGTCCGTTAACCGCCCCAACTCACAGCCTCGTGGCTGCCCGCCGATCACACGCCATCTCACACCGACGAGCTGTCGGAGCGGGGCTTTGTTCCACTCAGTGGTGCTGATAACGTTCAACATTCGGCACCACGAGTCAGGAGTCTCATCCCTGCAGTTCCCTGTTGTGGTGTCACCTCCCTTCATCATTTAGCCTCTAATTTTTTTTTATGCATGAGGATTGTGTTTCACACGACACGTAAAAAGGGATAACACAAATCCACACGGATACATTGAAGAAGCAATTTGTCATTCTGCCATATACGTGCCACCTCACAGCCCAATGGGTTTGGCAGTTTCACAAATCTGCATGTGATCCAGCAAACCTTGCACCTTATATTCTGTAATACAGATTAAGTATCATAAAAGTAGCTTGTAGATGTGTCATGACAATTGTTTTTTGGCCACGGAGTGCTGTCATGCTCCGGTTTTATCGCTTGAGATCCCAGGAAGGTCGCATGTAATATTCCAGTCAGGGGCTGACTGCCCATCATCTCTGGGTTGATAAAATTATAACACTTTGTGGTAAGTCACCAGTGGTAAGTTTTCGAACAACCTTTCCTCCACCGTAGAAATGTGGAATTTCCATCACTTGCCACCAACAAGACATGATCACTGCCCCCATTGAGCAATTGGATGGGAAAACGAATTGACTTGAGGTTTTTGATCCACCGACGGCTATGCTTTACATTTGGGCCCACCAACCGTGTAGAGTGACTTTGTTTAAAGGTGGGGGCTCACACAAACTCAGGGGGTGGCGGGAAGGGGGGGTTCGACACAGTCGATGTTAAACAAACGTTAGACACGTTAAAGTGCTTTTCAGGAACGCTCTTCAAGAGTAGAAAGCCACTCGAGTAGAACTGCTTTATGTTTTTAGTTTGTTTGTCCTTCCCTCGCACCTCCGCTTAGCACGTTTGGCTAGGTATGGTGCAAAAGAAGTTCAACATACCGTATGATATGATTTTGTCTTGAATTCTGGCCTAGCTCACACTCCCTATATATGTACAAAGAAAGACTGTGACACCCATCACTTAATTGTCCAAATGTTTCCATTTTGTCCAGTTCCCTCCGACTACCGCAGACAGTTTGTATATCAATACCAAACGAAGCTCACGAATTAAAAGTAGGACACTGCGGCAGATCAAGTGCAATTGATGCTGAACATTTAAAGAAAAACTGCTGCTGGTGTCCAATATTGTACCAACGGTTTTTTTTTACACTAACATATTTCAAATGGGGTGCTCAGCTTTCAGGGGCGTGGTTCAGCCCCCTCCAGTCCTCCAGAATAGTGCTGGGGTGCCCCCTAAGAATAGACCCTTGGACAACATGCTCGTAACGCACAAAGCGGCAGATCGCACGCTTGACCCAAGGCCTAACGTGCACAAACGCGGCGTGAGCTTCGTCCCACAGTATGAATGCACCTCGTGGGCAGTACGCGTCCAGGTTTTTGTCGGCCAGGAGGAAGTTGGAGGTGAGCTGAATGTACTGGCCGGGTTCCCCGCACTGCCCGTACTGCTGAGTGTACGGCGAGTCATCCTCGGGGTCGTCCAGAGAGGCAATACGCACCTCCGCCTGTATTTTTTTTGTGTGGAAGGAGAAAAAGAAATGAGGGCGAATTCTCTGGTCAATTGCATAATCATGATGATTCCCAAGGCCAAACTTTACTATTCTGGCATCAAAATACCTGACACCACTGAATGCTCCTGGCTTGTTCCCATTTATTTTACCATTAAGCCCTGTAATTGCTTGCTCTTACCACTGCTGGTGAAAAGGCCTCCGATAGAGGGCGGTCTAGAAATCCCCTCTAGAGAGTATTGGCCGAGTCTCCCATGCTAACCAGACATCTCGGAAGAGGTATGAGTACCCACAATTGTATCCCACCGCACCATAAACTGTTCATCTCATTACTGGGCCCATTTATGCTGTTGTGTGGACAGAGGAGGCGGGGAAATTCAAGAAACGTTCCCCATTGTTTCACCTGTTGCGCTGGGAGTAAAAATGTAGACTTTTGCATGACAAATCCAGTGTGCTAACCATTAGAGCATGGGAAGCATTATCCGCTCCCCCCATTTCCGAAAGCGTGAGTGCAAACTAAACTTAAACTCAACTATTTGTGTTTGGCAGGTAAGGCTCACTGAGCTATGTAACTTTTTTTCAGAAGCGATCTGGCCACAAATCATAGCCCAACGAAGTTGCTTATCACGTGGAAATGAATAGCAGTCAAATACTCGTAACGCATGTTTCTAAATGTGGAGGGGAAAACCGGAGGACCTGGAGAAAAATCCACGTGACCATGGGGAGAACATGAAAACTCCAAATATAAAACGTGAGAGACGTGATGGAACCCACGACCCTCCTGTATACCAGGCGAGGACGTTAACATCTCGCCACCGAGGCGAAATTCAACGGGATCTGGAGAGAATCTCACTTTTCCATATGAATCTAGAGTTTGCATTTTAAGGATACGCAATAACTTGATCCGTTTTGTGTTCACTTCCAGTAGGAGCCACATCTTCTAATCTCCAAACAATTATTCACGAAAGCGTAATTGATGATAATAATAGGGTTTTCCCCATTTTTCTGGCAACAAAACTGAAACCTTTTTACAAGGATTCATATCTGCATTAACCACAATACTTGCAGTCAAATGCAAACAAAAAAACACACACACTATGATAATGTATGCGTTGTCCTTGAAACTGATTGGCCCACACCAAGGGACGGCTTTCTTTCTTGCCAAAGTGTATATTTGTTTTCTCTTTGAAGCCAGTGTTGTAAACGAATGCGTCGTGGTTTCTATGTTCCGTGGATCCAAGTATTTTATAAAATGTCTGAGCTTGATGGAATTTATTTACGTAGAGATATAATACGGTAGAAATAAAAGAGTCGTGTGAGAAAACATTGCACGAATGAATCAATGTCATGCATACGTCACATTTAAGTGGTTTGAAGCGCTAAGGCGTTGCATCCCTTTAACCTCAGGTTCATTAATTGACCTCATGAAACACCTTTCTTGTGTCTGTGACCAAACCACCCGGAATGCGCCGGGACTTATAAGATCTCAGAAGTTAAGTAACCTTGAACCTGGAGAGTGCTCGAATGGGTGACCATAATGTGCATTAAGCAGGCGCAGTAGGCGCTGTGGGCAGTATAGAAGAGGGCAGTGCAGCAGAAAGCATTGCTCTGTATCACCCCGTTCCCACCTCCACCAACATGGTGAAGTATTTGTTAAACAACCCTCACGACCCGCGCGGTGTGCGTATAGGCCCTCAACCAACAGTGCATTGACAAATGGACTGCACACGTACGTACGTATGCACGCACACAATTTTGATGGAAAGAATCAAAACCATGCCACCAATTTCCGGTATTCCCTCGTTAGCATTGCTTCAAAAGACTGTTGCTTCAGCGCAGATTGAAACGTGCAACTTGTTACTTTGTGCTTATGTTATTGAATATCAAGAGTTGTGTTAGCCACGCAGACAAGTTTAAAGCATGAATGGAAACAATTTATCACCACTGTCTAAACTCTGGAAACGCTACTTGTGCTGAAGATTTCAGGTTTTTAAAAAAAATCAGCTCTTACCTTGCCATAGGACTCGTATTTGGGTCGTGTGTAGTTTGATTGTGAGCTCCAGAAAAATGGAATTAGAATGCTGACGTGTTTGAAATACGCCAGGCGGTTCGTTGCCTTGAACAGGTAGGCAGAAGCATCGCCGACCATATCCTGCGAGAAACAGTTTTCAAGACAGCAGCAAATAAGTTACCGGTTGTGATGTTTCATGTCAAGTCCAATGATTTTTATGCAAATTGGCTAAAACCACAAAATCATTCTAACTATGTTTTATTTTACCAGGTAAGGCTCACTGAGCCATATAGCTCTTTTTCAGAAGCGACCTGGCCACAAATGATAGCTCAGCAAAGTGGCTTATCAAGTGGAAATTGGTCACAGCCAAATATTCAAAACGCATGTTTTTAAGTGTGGGGGGTGGGGAGGGAGGGGGGAAATCGGAGGACCGGAGAAAAATGCGTGCGAACATGGAGAGAGAGACACACGCAAACTCCAAATATACAGCAGGCGTCAGGGTTGGGATCAAACCCACGACCTCCTGCATATCAGGCGAGGTAGTTAACATCTCACAGCCACCGTGGCGCCAACATTGAGTACACGTACAAATTAAACAACTCGGATCACAATTATTTGATGTGTTTCACCGTAGCTATTGCAAGCTTGTTGAGATTCAGAGCGCACGTACAGGAGAACTCTTTATCGGTGGTGATGGTGTTGTGGGTTGGGGGGGGTCAGACGGATCCTATTATCCACAGCACAGGATTATCTACTCATTATTTTATTCCCCTTATCCAGGGGGGGAAATAATGAAGAAAATGATTAATAGGCCCGTTTGTACAGAACCCACAGCTCTCATGGATAATAGGAGTTGCGTGTACTAAGATGATGGATGAGTGGAGTTCTCCTGTAATTAAAATTATGCAGTGCGCAGCTGTCAGCTTCATCTGCGACAATTTGTCCGCCAGCACGTTGAACGTGCTCCAAGTGAACTGCCTAATTCTATACAGAGGCTTTTACGACCAATATTATGATTCATGATTAGATTATTTTGGATTAGATCGTGTGGTTATAATGTACATGTTTTAATTATTACCCTCCACCATCAAACAGATCCAATAAAATAAATCTGTCATGTGGGCAATTATGAAAATTTTTGGATTTTAAGCAAACTGCTGCAATGTTGACAAGAAAGTAACATGTTGACATTTTTTGTTTTTATATTCTTGTATAAAACTGTAAAAAATGCTTGCTTGCATTTAAGCGTAGCAGCAGTTTGCTGAACATCAAATCAATTTGCATAATAGCCCACGTGACAGATGTATTGCATTGGCTCTGTGGAGTGATGAAAGGATATTTTAAACATCGACATTATACTTACAAAATCTAATGCAAAAGAACACACATTATTAATCAAAATAAACTGCATCGTATAATGATATGTATATACATGATTGCTTAACTTATTCTTTGGGTCTTTGGGTAAGAAATAATAAAAAATATATGCCCAACAATCCTTTAATAACTTGCAAAAAATATAGCAAGCTGTTCAAAATGGAAGGCCAAACTTTGGAAGATTAAAGCAGTATGCCTATGACAGAGAAATTGTAGAGTTATTCCAATAACCCCAGTCAAGTCCTGTTTGCAGCATTGTGAGCCCTGATACAGTCTGGCTGGAGCGCTGCAACAATGATAGCTTTTTTACAAACAAATCCAGTCACTGCAATATTGTGACTTTTTGTAAAGAAATTCTAATAAAAAAAAGCAACTGCATTAGCAGTGGTATACAAGCAAAAGCTAAAAACGAAACCACCAGCTTCATCAACACTGCCTTATTGCCAAAAAACACATTAAGTAAACTACTCTATAATTACTCTGTGGTTCTTTCGGTGAAGTCACGTAGGTATAAAATAAAAATACATTAAATCACGACGTTTTGATTGCAACAGAAGCAATTATCATCAGGTGACAAAACCACAGCAAGAACATTTTTTGCTTAAGTGGGAGAGAGATGGCGTGGTAAGAGGTTATATAGGTAGGAGAGGGGGAGGGGCAAGGGAGGGGGGAGGGGCAAGGGAGGGGGGTAGGGGTAGGGGAGCGTTGCGTGGACGCGAGAAGAGGGACGTGAAGCTGGATGGGGGGGAAGTGGGCGGGGCTGGAAGTGGGCGGGGCTGAGAGAGCTGGGGATGCGTGGGGGGAGGATGCAACAACAACGCCACTGCAGCAACAATGCCAATGTAGCCAACAATGCCAATGCAGCAGCAATGCCAAACGCTGGGGATGCAACTAACTCGGCAAAATAGACTAGTGCCCGGCAAATATGATGGAACAACCATAAACAGTTCAGGTTTTACCTGGTTAATAACATTCTTCCAATGATTGCTCAATTTGTATCCATCTTCTCGGTTGAAGTTATGTCTATGTTTATATATCTGGATGGCTTCATGAACAAACCTTTGATAGCCCGAAGGTTTGCAGAGTACCTTGGTCTCGGAAAAAACAATGCCATGCGAGCCCACAGTGTTATAACAATAGTCAGCCACGGCCGAGGTATTGGTTCTGCCGTGTTTCAGATTTGCCTTGTGTTCGCAGACACGGTCCGAGACATGTCGTTATGTTTCCCCAATGTAACAGCCACCACAGGTACAACTTAGTTTGCAAACTCCAGGATATTGCATGTCAGGAATGACATCCTTCACAGATGGGATTAGATGACGGATTTTGTGTACTGTGTTGAATCGGACCTGGATCTTGTGTTTGTTTAAGATTTTGGAAATATTTTTGGTCACACCTGCTATGTATGGTAACATTATGGTTTTGATCGGCTTCTCAGGGGGTTGGAGAAACAGCTTTGCGAATAATGCGGTCTGAGTACCCATTCATCACCTGGTATACGTGTTCCAGTTCACTGGCTAGGCGGTGTTGGTCGGAAATGCAGTGGGCCCTATGGTATAGTGTCTTGATGAGGGAATTCTTCTGTGCCGGATGGTGGTGGGAATCAGATTTCAGATAGGAATCTGTGTGGGTGGCTTTCCTGTAGACAGAGTGTCCCAATGAGTCATCAGGTCTCTTCTCAAACAAAACATCCAGGAAGGGTAGCTTGCCATCCTTCTCTTCTTCCATGGTGAATTTGATAGATTTGTGTATGGAATTGATGTGGTTGAGAAATTGGTTCAATGCTGGCAGGCTATGTGGCCAAATGACGAAAGTGTCATCTACATATCTCTTCCACAAGGAAGGACGTAGGGTGGATGTCTGGATGGCATCTGTTTCATATTTCTCCATGAAAACATTCGCTATCACTGGTGATAAGGGGGAACCCCAAAAAAATATATTGTTGTGGTTTTCCCACCTGATGATGATTGCTTGTGTTGCAATCGAAACGTCGTGATTTATTATTTTTTTATATATACCTACGTGACTTTACCAAAAGAACCAGAAAGTATGGATTCCTGTAGTCACGAAAGCTTCAAATCTACTATATAATTATTGTAAAAGAGAATTAATGATGGTGGCAGGTTTTTGGTTTTATGTGTTTGCGAATAAGCAGTTGCTGCAGGTTTTTTTCACTCTTAAAATACAAATGGACCTTAATAGAATTCAATTAAAAGCAAAAAGCTTCATACTGCTGATCTCCAGCCACCCACCTTGATGGCGTCGATGAGTTGGGGGTCCTCCGGCACGGCTGGGTTGATGGCGATGACCAGGCCCTCGTAGCCGTTGTTGATCAACTTCACTCGCGAGCTGTCACTCAGCTCCACGGCTGCGCACAGCGCCGCGGCCAGAGCCACGACGATGTTCATGCTGCGCTAAGTCAATTGATTTTACAGCAAACCTTCGGAAGAGGTTAAATTCCATACACTGACTTACCTAGATGCCTTATATTCGCAAGATTCAATGTTCACCCACCCGTCATTCCTTTAGCACCCACATCTAATCATTAAGATAATATTGATTGTCTTTCACCTTTGCTCAGTTGCATGTTTTGCTATCCCAGGTTGCTGCTTGGAATGGCAGTGCAATCTGGGTGCAGGGTAACGAACCTGATCCAGGTACCCACGCCTGATTCTACAGTTGTGTCCTATTTTGCTCCGTTTAATTACAGGGCTTGTGTCGGGGCAACACAATTCCACTGTAAAATTCCGACACTCACAGGGATCACCCCGAGTGCTAAAACCGTTGAATGTAAAAGTAATCTGACCCAAGCTGTTCGACATGTACATCTTACATAATCTCTGTGGATGCTGAAAGCGTTAGATAAAGTCACTTTTAAATAAAGACTGCTATTGTCACCTGTCCAAGGTCTTGCATAATGCAAGACTTGCCATGTTCGCAGAACTTTAAATAAACAAAAGTCTAAGGTACAGGTGATATCTACCCGTGTTAGTTTTACCAGCAAAGTGTCGATAACTATGATCACACTAAGTACTATTATGAATTCTAGATTTAAAGCTTTCGTGACTGCAAGGATCCATACTCTTTGGTTCTATTCGTGACTTTACCGAATAGAACCAAAGAGTACTATGATGAAGCACTCGCAGCTAGAGGTTGTGGCAATCTAGTGATACTTTGATATACCACAAACATTGTATCGTCTGTTGTGCAACATATAATACTGTTATTTATGCCATTTTAATGTATTAAGTATTTTATTTCCTATCAAAATAACAAAACACCAATAATATAAACTCTAACACGTAGAATTTCATGACCAATATTTCGATGCACATTTCTGGCAACTGCCTGGTGATGCTGGTTGTGACTATAAGGGAAACATCTGTAGTCAATTGTTCAATGCTGTGGATCGCTCTTCCACACACTAGTGGTATTGCTGAAGCCGTAATAAGTTGCCAAGTTTATTAATCACGCGAAAACTTTATTAATTGGAAGTGTGGGGTGGAGAATAGATGTACGACACACAATGTACCTGCGAGATCTGACCCTAAAACCAGTCATGAAACAATAATACAATTTACAAATATATGGCTATTACCGATTAAATTAGTAATCTGCAAAATGTTTTTTCAAAGGAATTTACATCATTTACATTATACCACAGTTTGTTTTATAGTTTAACTACTCAATGTTTAACTGACAGCATGTTCATTATAACAGTTATTGATTGTAAGCGTATTAAGTTGAAGAACTTTGAGGTAATCTTAATTTGCTCGGGAAGGACACGAAAACTATCCAACAAAAATGTCAAACACAATTGTAAATTGTAATCATTGTCATTTGTTAAATTTTGTATATTACATGGTATCATGAACAACAATATTGCAGCAAACCCTACTCACTGCCTAGGCTGACTACCTACTCACTGCCTAGGCTGACTACCTACTCACTGCCTAGGCTGATTACCTACTCACAGCCTAGGCTGACTACGTACTCACAGCCTAGGCTGACTACCTACTCACTGCCTAGGCTGACTTCTTACTCACTGCCTAGGCTGACTTCTTACTCACTGCCTAGGCTGATTACCTACTCACAGCCTAGGCTGACTACCTACTCACTGCCTAGCCTGACTTCTGACTCACTGCCTAGGCTGACTTCTTACTCACTACCTAGGCTGACTACCTACTCACTGCCTAGGCTGACTACCTACTCACTGCCTAGGCTGACTACCTACTCACAGCCTAGGCTGACTACCTACTCACAGCTTAGGCTGACTACCTACTCACAGCCTAGACTGACTACCTACTCACAGCCTAGGCTGACTACCTACTCACAGCCTAAGCTGACTTCTTACTCACTGCCTAGGCTGACTTCTTCCTCACTGCCTAGGCTGACTACCTACTCACAGCCTAGGCTGACTACCTACTCACAGCCTAGGCTGACTGCCTACTCACAGCCTAGGCTGACTACCTACTCACTGCCTAGGCTGACTACCTACTAACAGCCTAGGCTGACTACCTACTCACAGCCTAGGCTGACTACCTACTCACAGCCGAGGCTGACTACCTACTCACTGCCTAGTAGGGTGTGACTACCTACTAACAGCCTAGCCTCTACAACCTACTCACGTCCTAGTAGGGTGTGACTACCTACTAACAGCCTAGGCTGACTACCTATTCACTGCCTGGACTGACTACCTACTCGCAGCTTAGGCTGACTACCTACTCACTGCCTAGGCTGACTACCTACTCACAGCCTAGGCTGACTGCCTACTCACAGCCTAGTCCTAGGCTGACTACCTACTCACAGCCAAGGCTGACTACCTACTCACAGCCTAGGCTGACTACCTACTCACATCCTAGGCTGACTACCTACTCACAGCCTAGGCTCACTACCTACTCACAGCCATAGCTGACTACCATCTCACTGCCTAGGCTGACTACCTACTCACTGCCTAGGCTGACTACCTACTAACAGCCTAGGCTCACTACCTACTCACAGCCATGGCTGACTACCATCTTACTGCCTAGGCTGACTACCTACTCACTGCCTAGGCTGACTACCTACTAACAGCCTAGGCTCACTACCTACTCACTGCCTAGGTTGACTACCTACTCACTGCCTAGGCTGACTACCTACTCACCGCCTAGGCTGACTTCTTACTCACTGCCTAGGCTGACTACCTATTCACAGCCTAGGCTCACTACCTACTCACATCCAAGGCTGACTACCTACTCACAGCCTAGGCTGACTACCTACTCACATCCAAGGCTGACATCCTACTCACTGCATAGGGTGTAACTACCTCTTCTCAGCCTAGGCTGACTATTTACTCACAGTCTAGGTCCATCGGCTGACTACCTACTCACAGCGTAGGCTGACTACCTACTCACAGCCGAGGCTGACTACCTACTCACTGCCTAGTAGGGTGTGACTACCTACTAACAGCCTAGGCTCTACTACCTACTCACATCCTAGTAGGGTGTGACTACCTACTAATAGCCTAGGCTGACTACCTACTCACTGCCTAGGCTGACTACCTACTCACAGCCTCGGCTGACGACCTACTCACAGCCTAGGCTGACTACCTACTCACTGCCTAGGCTGACTACCTACTCACAGGCTAGGCTGACTACCTACTCACAGCCTAGGCTGACTACCTACTCACAGCCTAGTAGGGTGTGACTACCTACTAACAGCCTAGGCTGACTACCTACTCACAGCCTAGGCTGACGACCTACTCACTGCCTAGGCTGACTACCTACTCACAGCCTAGGCTGACTACCTACTCACAGCCTAGGCTCACTACCTACTCACAGCCATGGCTGACTACCATCTCACTGCCTAGGCTGACTGCCTACTCACTGCCTAGGCTGACTACCTACTAACAGCCTAGGCTCACTACCTACTCACAGCCATGGCTGACTACCATCTTACTGCCTAGGCTGACTACCTACTCACTGCCTAGGCTGACTACCTACTAACAGCCTAGGCTCACTACCTACTCACTGCCTAGGTTGACTACCTACTCACTGCCTAGGCTGACTACCTACTCACCGCCTAGGCTGACTTCTTACTCACTGCCTAGGCTGACTACCTATTCACAGCCTAGGCTCACTACCTACTCACATCCAAGGCTGACTACCTACTCACAGCCTAGGCTGACTACCTACTCACATCCAAGGCTGACATCCTACTCACTGCATAGGGTGTAACTACCTCTTCTCAGCCTAGGCTGACTATTTACTCACAGCCTAGGTCCATCGGCTGACTACCTACTCACAGCCAAGGCTGACTACCTACTCACAGCCGAGGCTGACTACCTACTCACTGCCTAGTAGGGTGTGACTACCTACTAACAGCCTAGGCTCTACTACCTACTCACATCCTAGTAGGGTGTGACTACCTACTAATAGCCTAGGCTGACTACCTACTCACTGCCTAGGCTGACTACCTACTCACAGCCTCGGCTGACGACCTACTCACAGCCTAGGCTGACTACCTACTAACAGCCTAGGCTGACTACCTACTCACAGCCTAGGCTGACTACCTACTAACAGCCTAGGCTGACTACCTACTCACAGCGTAGGCTGACTACCTACTCACATCCAAGGCTGACATCCTACTCACTGCATAGGGTGTAACTACCTTTTCTCAGCCTAGGCTGACTATTTACTCACAGCCTAGGTCCATCGGCTGACTACCTACTCACAGCCAAGGCTGACTACCTACTTACAGCCTAGGCTGACTGACTACTCACTGTCTAGGCTGACTTCCTACTCACTGCCTAGGCTGACTTCCTACTCACTGCCTAGGCTGACTACCTACTCACTGCCTAGGCTGACTACCTACTCACTGCCTAGGCTGACTACCTACTCAGTGCCTAGGCTGACTACCTACTCACTGCCTATGGTGTAACTACCTCTTCTCAGCCTAGGCTGACTATTTACTCACAGCCTCTGGCCATCGGCTGACTATCGTGCAAATGGCCAAAAATGGTAACCCACGTAGCCTTTGTGGTTGCCATTGTTGTTGTCGTGGCAGACTGTGCGTGCAGCGTTCTGATGTGGGGCTAGCATTGTGGCTATTATTATTACTGCGGTGCACTGTAGTTGCGTGGTGTTGATGATGGAATGCAGTTGTAGTTGATAGTGTTGGCGTCTGTTATTGGAGTGAACTGTGAACTGTAATTAGTTGACACCTTGTGCGATCATGGAACCTTCCCTTTGTCAGGTAGATAGATACCCTTGTCAAGCGTGACAAAGTACGATTTAAAAAGGTCCCTCACGTCTGCCATACATAAACCACGGACTCCGGTCCCTCACTGGTTCCACCGGTTGTGATATCGTTGGGGTCAGTGAAGAAGCAGCGGCTGCTAAGAATCACTGAGTCCGAACAGGGACACCTGGACAGTTTAACACGCAGCCTTTGGCCACCACTATTATCCGTAATATAAGTTTGTTTCTTTTGGGTAAGATTGCATAACTATAAATGTGTCGTTAAACCCACCACTATCCGACACAGCCAATTAATAAGGTTTGTCACGTAAACAAAATGTGCCAATTCATTACTAGTCCAGCACACCGGTTGCGTGTTGGAGAGTAAACCCACAACATTTCGAGTATGACGTTTCGCCAGTAATTACAACTCGCATCGTCAGGTGACAGACAGATTTGTGTTGGGTGGTGGCGGGTTTAACGACACATTTATATTTATGCGATCTAAACCAAAAACCTCTATTATGGAAGACACGTGGAGCTGATTGTGGCCCTGTACAATACGTATGCTTTGTTTGGCAAGCCAAACGTGACGAAAACTAGACAGGATTCGAGATAAATAAATTGGAACATTTGTTGGACTCAGTAGGGTGATGGAAAAGGTAAAAACTCCATAAATTAAAAATAATAATAATAACGTTTACTAATAAATAATGGCGACAGGCACACTGTGAGTTCATGAAGAAATTACCAAAATACACATTTATATTGGAGCCAGGGTGGTATGGTTTGGCCAAAACTTATTGAGTGACAGAAGGCTTTAAAAAAAATTGGATTTGAGAAATAAATACGTACATTCTCGTGGAGAAAAAAAACAATAACCATCTCAGATGTTCTGGCTGTTACGAACTGGAGGGAATATTAGAATAACGTTATAAAATGTGGCTGCAGGGTTGGATGTAGCATAAACGAGAAAAGAAACAAGGTGGTAGGCAACAAGTTCACTAAACAATTACAGATGTCTGTTGGAGGGACACGACTGGAGAACAGTGGAAATGTGTGAACCTGGGTCAACTATTGAAGGTGAAACAGGATTAAAAAAAATAACATGCAAAGAGGAGGATGAGAATAGATTGGGGTGGTTTTGAAAATCCAAACTTGATAATGAAACATAATAGAGCAATGTGGACTGCAGAAGACGGTGTTTAATCAGTGTGTACTGCCTGCTATGACACATGGTTCAAAAACAAGGTCATTGACACAAATCATTAAACAAGAACTTAAAAGTGCTCAAAGGAGAGACCTGCTTGGAATTGCACTGAGAGACAGAGAGGGAAACGCGTGGACTGGAGGACATAGTCAGGTTAATGAGGCAATTCAAACTGTCAAGAAAAGTAAGTGCGGCCTGGGAAGGACAAGTCACGAGGAGGAAAGACGGCCGATGGTTAAGTATAATGACGGAGTGGTGGCGAAAGAATGGAACACGGTCGAGAGAGTTTTCACAGAGAAGATGGAGTGATAAAAATTGGCTAGTGTGCAGTTACTCCCGCACCTCCAGTTAGCATGTTTTGCTACGTACACTGTGAAAGAAGTACAATATACTTGCTGGATTATTACATACCATGATTACGAGAGACGTATGTATGGTGAACTTCTTTCACACCGTACATAGCCAACCGTACTAATTAGAGGTGTGGGGGAAGAACAACAAACTAAACACAAAGAACAGTTCTTCAGAAATGAGTTTTCAATCTACATTTAAAAGTGCATAGCTCCAATGGCTTCATCATATCGGAAATATCGCGGTGCCTTGGGGAGGCCTTCATTCAGTCATGGGTTGACAAAGGACTACATTTATTTGTGATCCAGTGCTTTGGGAGAAAGGGTATGTTGATCTTGCAATTGTGTTTATAGGTGGCTACTATACAGCACAAGGAGTTATGAACCAGTCTGTGTGGCCTTTCGAGTGTCATATCCCTGCATGTATCAGGGTTTCTTGTTTCCTCCCACGTAAAAAAGCCCGTTGAACACGAATCCATGAAATTGGCCAAACAACACTAATTCAAGGCGCTTCTGAAAATGGGTCTAGAAACTTAGAGACGCTTTCACAGTAATAACCTGTGTGGCATTTTCAAGAGCAGGTGATTATGTATGACTGTGATTAATCGTTAGAGAAATAAACGAGTGATCTAGTGATGACATTAGTCATTGCAAGTTTTGCATCAAAAATGTTTCCACATCCAAAGCTATTTACAGCCAGCCGTTTTTTCCCTGCGTACCGTTTGCATATTTGTACTTCCTGTTTGGCAATAGTCTGTACTACTTCCTTTAATGCAAAGTAGCGTTATTCAACAGCAAATGTTAATCCAGTTGTTGACCAGTGGTCTGATTGACATACCTCTACAGATTTTATAGCAATTTGTTTTTATTTATTGCATACGACTGTAGATTATACCTGCATGGCAATGGGGAAAAATAGGAATGCAGAAAAGTGATTCGAATCGTGACCCCAAATGGCGACCATTTCTAAAATCCTGGAGCTAGCCAACGTTTACATACATATGTGACATATTCCAGTTCATCGTCAGTAATGATTAGGCCATTGCTGGATGAAGACCTCCGCAAGCTGTGACATATCCCCGTTCACGCTGTTACAAATGACGTTACGTTGTTATATGGAACTACGCCTACCGCACACGAGAAAAGGCTTGTACACTAATCTATTTCAATCAGGGCAATTCATCGACCGCGTATTTATCCTTTACTCATAAATACGTCATTTGCATAAGATGACGTATTTAAAAAGTCAATACAGCAATGGGGAAATGCTAAGCGTAAAGGGCTCTGTATAAGGTTAATTTGCGATATCAAACTTACAACAAGGAGTCACCTTAAAATAATGAATGTTTTCCCAAGGTGGCCGAATGCAGTATTTTTTTTAAATGATTAGCGGGTGACCAGTCATCCTATCAATCATTGTGAAACAACATGTGGCTTCCTCATATATACATTGAGTTGTATTTCTGTCGAGTAAACATTGCCTATGCATCAGTTCGTTTCCATGCATAACGTGCATTTATACAAGTGACTAAGTTGCCATTGTCTGACGGTTGGCACGCAAGACTTTGCAATCCAGGGGTGGGGAGTTCGATTTGATGTCCCAACACGGCAGTGGAAATAATACGATTCTTAAATCCACCCAGCTCCACCTCTGTCCACCAAGTGAGTTGATCACCACAGTCAGGATAAACGACATTAAGCCGATCGGCAAGCCGCATGTGGTGGGGTAAAATGTGGGTACTCTCTCTTCCAAAACGTACTGCCAGTGAGGAAGAGTAGGCCAAATGCCCTCTGGATGGGCTCTCCAGGGTTTCCTCTAGTGGACGCCCTTCTTCAGAAACAGAGGCAATATAAAATATTTTCAAGGCTGTACCTTCATCCTGATACCAATTATATCAAGTCGATGGTATATAGTGTTTGTGTTCATGACACAAAGACAAAGATCCCCCGTATAGCCTTAACAGACTGTAGGGGCAAGTGCTGTTAGCGAGCACCTATGAAGACCGGAACGGTACACGAGGGGGTGGGTGGCCAGCACCACGTCAGACCGCCTTTGTCTCCTCAGTGGCGATGTTTACACACCGCACCAGGCACTCATTTGAGGCTGAGTCGACCTAGGGGAGGCCCAGGACCGGTTCAGATAATCGTCACTGGTGTTGGCCGTGAGCGGGGGCCGAACCCGGGTCGCCAGGTTCATAGCGCAGCGCGCTAACCGCTGCACTACTGCATGACACACACTGGTATATTATCAGTTTAACACAGGCTTTCGCGACCAATATTATTCATAATAAAGGTTTTTGGGTTAGATCGCGTTATTTATAAATGTGTCGTAACCCTCCACACCCGACACGGCCAAACAGAAAAAAATGTGTCACGTTTACAAAGGGTGGTGGAGGGTTACGACACATTTATAAATAACGCAATCTAACCCAAACACCTGTATTATGAACAGGCACATTATGTTGAGCTCTAACACGTAAGCTTTCGCGACCAATATTATTATTATTTCCATTGTCATTTTTCACTAATTCATCTTTGTGATCGTGAACACATCGTGCACTCTTGTCATTGGCGTAGCGCGGTTGGCCATGTGCTCTGCTGCAAGAAATACAAAGGTGGTCCCGTGTCCAATATATGCCACCCCTTGATGGACCCCTCTCAACCGTGGGTCCCAACGCAGTTACACTTCCTGAACGCTCGATAGCAAACCCCACTGGCAAGATTACATGGAAATATATCCCAACGGTTGGAAATGTGTTTTTTTTAAATCAATGCTACACTGATAAAAAAAAACATTTTACCCGGGAATCAAGATTTCGATGCACATACGAGAGGGTGGAAGGCGGCTTGGGAAAACGACCTCGCTTTGGTGTGCTCTGGAAAAATGTTGAACGAACCTTCAAATTCCCTTCAGTAGTCTTGGGTCTTTCGGTAAAGTCACGTAGATAGGTTCAAAGGAAAATAACAAAAAAAACTACGATGTTTCGATCGCAATACAAGCATTTGTCATCAAGGAGATGATGACGAGCGCTTGTGTTGCGATCGTCATCATTGTGTTGCGATCTTTGAACCTATCGATATGACTTTACCGAAAGACCCAAGAATATGAATCCCTGAGGTCACGAAAGCTTTAAGTCAAGATTCCTTCAATAGCTTACTGTGGCCAGAAGGTTGCACCAGAGCACAGGGTAAAGTACTCATTCAGTCCACATAACCAGATGCCCGACCTCTGAAATCACCACCTATCGTCATTAACAAGAACAGCTTTTTCACTAAAGAAAAAATATAAGAAACTAAACTTTCAGACAACACACCCTGAGAGAAACACATATATAAAAGTAATGGTAATTCAGCAATACAGCATCATTAAATAATAATAATTTACATTCATTTTTCAATTCACTGCTGGATGAAAGCCTCCTTACATTGTTCCACTCATGAAGATTGTTTAACCATACTTCACCAACTTGATCAGCGAATATTATTTATATATTATTAGGCTTGTTTTCCCAGGAAAGCCTCACTGATTCTCGTCACTGTTTCTCAGGAGGGCCGTGCCACCGCTTCCAATGCGTCTGGTCAGTGTGGAAGGGCAAGCCGAATTCCCTCTTGAGGGACACTCTCAGGCTCCATCTAGTCGAGGTTCATATTCCTGGTTCTTTCGGTAAAGTCACGTTGAAGGGAAACAATAAAATAATAAAAAATATATTATTGTTTTATATATATTTTCATATTTTATTGTTTCCCTTCAAC